ATAACGCCCTTCTGACTGATGGATCAGAAACGGATATGGGCACCATAACCTCCATGGAAAAAGGATGTTGAGATGGCGCTTGATCGTGGAACTGTTGAAAGGACAGACAAGCAAATTGGCAACGGTCAGAGAATTGATGAGCTGCAACAAAAACTGTGACGTCAGCTATGATGCAGGTACGGTGGTACCAAAAGCGAACAAGAAGGCTGTTTCTGTCCCCGTATCCAATATCCCGTCCCCGCTCCCTTGTCCCTCGAGCCCCGTGCCCCGTCCCTCGTGCCTCGTGCCTCGTTCCCCCATGCCTAAGCCCCCAGTAACAGAGACTGCTTCGGCGCGGTGGTGATCACAGGGATTGGTCGCGTTGCCGCACAGGTGCCGGAGTGATGGTGCGCGTTTTTCGCGCCTTTCGACGCTCAGTCATCGACTTCATTCAGACATCTCACAGGGAAACGGAGTGCGGATGACAGGCTGGCTGTCATGCAGCTGACAAGAGAAGAGGAACGCACTCAACTCTTGCTGCTCGTTCGTCGAGAAGATGACGAATCAGCAGCGACGATTTGATTTGAGGAATCGAGGCCAGGATCGACGTAGATCGGTCGGTTCGGCGCGCTCCCGTACGAGAGCAAATTACAGCCACCTACGTCGAATGCCTCGCGCATTTCGATCTTAATTATCGCCTTAAATCCGCCTCTAATGCCTGGCTTACATCCGACCACGAGAAGCCTTAACCTCGGATTAAATTTCCGCGGCGTCTTCTTGCGCCTCACTTGACTCCAGCCGACTCTTGCTGGCGCAATTCGACTTCGAGGCGTATGTGAATCCGCCGGCTGGTCTGAACCTCACCTCGGTAAAAGCGGATTACCGCCAACGGCGTTGACTCTCTCCTCTCGTTCCTTTTTCTCCGGCTAAAACCGCGGTCTAGATTTGTCGCCTATGGTCGTCCGTTTCACAACTAACTGCACTTGAATCACAAGCAATCCGCTTTATGTCTTTTTTTCCTCCGTTGCCTAAAATAAAATCTTCTTCCACATATTAAGAATTACTTATTCATGCGTATATGATACCGTCAATATTGACAGTACGTTACACCTGTATAGTGAGTAACTGATTCGAAAATGAGTTCAAACCGGC